ACAGACACAGTACACCTGCAGACTGAGGTGTGGTCCTTAAAACACCCATGGGATGGAAACAATCCGAACACCTTAGGAAATCTGCTGTTTCAAAATTAAGCCACACAATGTGAACGACCACTTGGGAATGAAAGCCTAACATCCCTCATTTAGAACACAAGTATTAACATTAGCCTTTGTGTAAATCCCAGATGATGCTCAAGTGTAAACGGATATGAAATCACCTGCTCACCAAACTATTTCAGTCTGAAGCACGTTCATAGGATTAGTTAACTGAAGAGTTCAAGTTTCTGCTCCTTTTGAGAAAGGGAGAACACAAGACAACTGTAGGCAGTTATGCCAAGCGTACAAATCGTTACTATCCAAGTGGGAGGGGGAAGCTGGCATCTTCACTTCCCACAGGCAGTATCTTTCCAGCCATAGTCATGTGCAATGTTGGCTGAAATCAGCTATGCAGGGATACTCCATCCTCTTTAAACACAGAGAGGGGATTGACTGTACACAAGTTGTTCTCTTTTTGCTCATGGCTGGACTCTAGGTACCAGATAGATAGCTGCATCCAGTCAGTAGAGGGGTAAAAACTGGCATGCATTAAGGGTCTGTCAGTGCTTTAACTTCCTTGGAATCAAGATTTCAGGAATTATTTTCACCTTCTGAGAAACATTCACTTGTCTTCTTACCTTCAATCTCTTCTTCCTGAGGAGTACTTACTAACCTCTTGGAACAAGTTATTAACTATCCCTCATCTTTCCTGTAAGAGTAGTAACTGGTTCTTTTTTTTGTTATTTTATTCCCATTTCAATACTACACACAGTAGATAAGCACATTGTTCCCAGTTTCAGATAAAAAAATGCTCAGAGAAAATTCCTTGAGTAATGTCAACAAGCAGATCAGCATAAGAACTAAAGAATGCAGTGATCCCTGTCTAGGAACTGCTGGTCTTCTGTGCAACAAATGCAATGATCTTGGCTCATCACAAAGCTGCAGCAAAAAGGCTTAAAATCCTTGAGAATCCAATTTGGCATGTTCATTCATCTCTTATTTGGTCATATATTAGCTCAGTAACTTAAGATAAAAATAAACACATTTAAAAAAAACCCAAACTTCCTAGCTTTTTTAGATAAAGCAAATTATAACTTCCACAATATGTCAAGTTTTGCCAGAAATGCACTCAGTGAACGCGATTTCACATCTCAGAATGTTTCCCTTTCATTGCAGTCAGATGTTATTCTTAAGTTTCACAGAGAATCTCCCTTACATTGTGATGGTATTTCAGACAGAAGGTAAAAGCAACAATTATTAATAGCTAAATTTTAACGTGACTGAACATTTGACAGCATCCATTTCCCCACGTGCACAGACAGTTCACTGATTTTTAACTCAAAGTTAAGGGCCAATGTGACATTAAAGTTGCACTATTAAATCACAGGATGGTTGGAGTTGGACAGGAGGTTAAAAATCATACAGTATCACACACACACAAGCCCACACACGCCCAGGTTGCTCACATCCCAAAAAGTACACCAAGCAAACATCAATTCAACACTGCAGCTACGTTATTAGCATCAGTGAATGCTGTTGGGATCTCTGTGATGACATTTTGATCTAAAGGACATTTTGATCTAAAGGACATTTCTGAAGGATATTTTCTTCCCGAGAGGAAACCATACACTTTGATGCAGTTTCTTTTTCATAGAATCATAGAATTTAGGGGTTGGAATGGACCTTACAGATCATCTAGTCCCAATCCTCTGCCATGGGCAGGGACCCCTCCTCACTAGATCAGGTTGCTCAAGGCTCATCCAGCCTGGATTGAACACCACCAAGGTCATGGCAGCCACCACATCCCTGGGCAACCTGTGCCAGTGTCAACACCCTTACTGTAAAAGACTTTTTTCTAATATCTAACCTAAACTTCCTCTCCTTCAGTTTAAAACCATTACTCCTTGTCCTATCACTGCAGCTCCTAACAAAGAGTCCCTCTCCAGCTCCTTGTTGGCCCTTCAGATATTGAAAAGTTGCTCTGAGGTCTCCATGCAGTCTACTCTTCTCCAGGCTGAACAGCCCCAACTCCCTCAGCCTGTCCTCACAGGGGAGATGCTCCAGTCCTCTTAGCAACTTTGTGGCCTCCTCTGGACTTGCTCCAACAGTTCCATGTCCTTCTTATGTTGAGGACAGCAGAACAACACACTGTATTCCAGGTGGGGGTCTCACAACCTTTTGTCTGTCTGGAACTCAGGACTTTTACATGTATGTGTGGGTGTCTGCACAGACCTCTGTAAGAAACTGCCATGACTGTTGCAAATCAAAATCTAGGAGTTAAACCACGCAGATAACCCGACACAGTATAAAGTCTAGTACGCCAATGAGGCAGTTTGCTAGGACAGGAAAGACTATTATACCACATGCATAGCAGTGTCTTTTATGAACATATCTTTATTCAATCAATGTTTCTCTAAGGGTAAGTCTCAAAATTACTTTCCTAGTCCACACACTTTCATTTGCCTGCTTTTCCTTTGCTCATGTCTACACTGCACTTGTATATGAAGTCACTTAAATATCATTAAACTGCACTTAAGTATGTTTCTATCCACCGTGTACACGGTTCTATTCAATTTCACTTCCAAAATCCTTGTGTTGCTGCAGAAAAGTATACAACATTAGCCAGAAGAAACCAAATTTGTAGGAAAAGATGACTTACAGATAAAGTTCATTTAAGTAACCAAAGTTTAATGATACTCCTACGACTGTCATCATGCAGTGTTGCATCAAGAAATCTCCTACAACTCTTCCACTAGTTGCAGTGTGATGTGCATTGTTCTTGCATCAAAAAGAGCAGCAACACTATGACCTCCGCAGACTTGCACACAAGCTACAGGGAATTACTGTACTACAGTTCACACCTGATTTGTTTCAGATTTGAAGATAGCTTCACATGACCACATATGCTTTCCAGCTATGTGACTGAGGTCTTTACAGAATGGTTGTATGGCCATAATGTTTCAAGAGGATTATGCAGCTAAGACCCGAACAACTTTGTTTGTTATGCTTCTCCCGAGCTCTTATTTTACTATAGGTTATTGACTAGCAAAGATAAGCAGTGAATTTCATTAGCTGTCCTGCAATTATTTTTTTCTTGAATATAAATATTTTTCTGCATACAGGAAGAGCAGAAAGTCAATTTCACTTAACTGAAAAAGAATTCCCAAACACAACCTGGCCTCACCTAACACTGATTATTCTACATCATTTGTGAAAGGAAAGCTGGAACACACATGCAGCTTTTCAGGGAAAAAGTAAAATATTTCATTTGTCCTCTACAGGAAGTTCATGAGCATTTTATTTCACCAAAGAGAATATTATAGAACCTCTGCACAGTCAACAGTCTAAGATCATAGAATTTAGGGGTTGGAATGGACCTTACAGATCATCTAGTCCCAACACCTCCTCACTAGATCAGGTTGCTCAAGGCTCATCCAGCCTGGCCTTGAACACCATCAGGGTCGGGGCAGCCACCACGTCCCTGGGCAACCTGTGCCAGTGTCTCAACACCCTCATAGGGAAAACCTTTTTTTATTTCACATCCAACCTAGACTTTCCCTCCTTCAGTTTGAACCCATCACCTCTTGTCCTGTCACTCCAGTTCCTAACACAGAGTCCCTCTCTGGCTCCTTGTAGGCCCTTCAGATAGTGAAAAGTTGCTCTGAGGTCTCCACACAGTCTTCTCCAGACTGAACAGCCTCAACTCCCTCAACCTGTCTTCATAAAGGAGCCAAGCATTCCCACAGGGATATAAGTTGGGGTTTGGACCAGCAGAGAGTCCTTTGCCTGCTGGATTCCCAGAGGACGAGAGCTGCCATTGGACCTTTGGGACAGGACCGGATCTGTGGGATCACTGCTCCAACAGACCCATCACTCCAGGAGGACTGCAGCCACCATTTCATCAGACTACTACCAACACCCTGACTGACAGGGTGTCAGGTTGCTTTCTGACTATCAGTGGTTTCTTTTTGTGCTGTTGCATTTGTTGTTTCAT